TCACCGTTTCATCGTTTCACCGTTTCACCTCACCGTTTCACCTGTTAGCATGCATGGGAAAGCACGAGTCTCATGTTCAGTGCATGTCACATGTCATGTCAGCATGAAGCCGTGAAGCCTGAGATGCACGCATTCATGATCAATCATGTTGCATGAACAACTGCCGCCGAAGCTTGTCAGCTGCAGGACGACAGAGCACGGGTCAAAACGACAACTAGCTGACTGTAAAGTCAATGACGTGCATGACTGCATGAGACAATGAAACGTGTAAGCTTGGTGAAACGGTGAAACGTTTTCCCTGCGATGCAACCACCATGCAAAGCAACATTCGTTCCAGTTATGCAGCTATGCAAGCATTCGTTACCGAGACTGCCCGTGTGACACGTGCCAGCATGTTTCGTGATTCATGACAGCATGGCTCAGCGTGACAACTTCATAACAATCAACGACATGCTTCGTACTCGAACGCAATGCAAAGCGATGGCAACAGCAAAGCTCAAACTCACTTGATCTTTTTTCACTCTCACTCTCTCACTGGTGCGTGTTCGGTGCTGTGCTTGCAGCCCAACGTCGCCACGTGAGACATGAAGCCCCCAAAGCTCTTGTGGCAGCGACGAGGAAACACCTCCACAACATACCAGCAGGCAGCTACCGCCGGTGGTGACTACGAGTGCTATTGTGGCATTGTTGTTTTGTTGATCCAGCTGCTGCTGATGTTGTTGTTGTGATTGTGTGTGGTTGTCGTGTGATTATTCGCGTTATTGGTTTTGTTCTTGTTGTTGTAGATGGTGAAGCTGCTGTTGATGTTGATATTGTTGTGGTTTGTCGATTGTGGTTGATGTTGTTGCTGTTGCTGTTGCTGTTGCTGTTGCTGTTGTTGTTGTTGCTGGTGTTGTTTTTGTTATGATGTTGTGGTCGCTCTTCTTGGCGCAGCTGTGACACTGGTGGTGATGAGTAATCTGACACTACTGCCGCATGTTGTTGCTGCTGCTGTCGCCGCTGAATCACTATGATTCTGTGACTTAGGGCTGTTCTTGTTTTCATTGTTGTTGTTCGCTAACTGCAGGCATGGATGTGGATGCGTGACGGATGCGTGTGTTTTGTGATTCGTGGTGCACGGCTTATGGTTCACATTGTCTGTTCCATATTGATTGAAGTCGGTGTGTCTGTGTTGCTGAGTTTAGTGATGAGTTGTGTTGATTGTTGATTGCTGCTGCCGTTGATGTTGTTGTTGCTGTTGCTGCGATCGATGAGGTGATTGGTTGGCTTTGTTGCTGCTGCGGTCGTCTACTATTGTCATTGTCATGACGTGGTCATTGTCACTATACTTACGTTGTCACGCTCCTTCCTTGCAGTAGTAGTTGTTGTTGGTGCTGTTGCTTGCTGTTGTGCTCTTGTTGATTGCTGTTTCACTGTGTGGCGGCGATTGTTGATTATGTTGTTGGTTTGTTGATCTGATTTATGATAGTTGAACTGTTGGTGGTGGGTGGTGATGACTGTGTGATATGTTCTTCCTGTGTCGATGTGCTGCTGCAGCCGTTGTTGCTGCTGGTGTTGTCCTTGTCGTTGTTATCGTCGTTGTCGTGGCGTCGTTGTTGCTGTTGTTGTGGTCGCGGCGGCGGTAGTGGTGGTGGTGGTTGCCGCTGCTACTGCTTCCGCTGCTGCTGATGGTGTTGTTGCTCTTGGTGATAATGTTGTTGTTGTTGGTGTTGTTTTTCTTGTGGCGGTGGTGGTGTTAGTTGTAGTTGGTGTAGGTTTGTTGGTTGACGTTAGACGTTGCTTTGCTGCACTGCACTGCATTGCAATGTTAAATGATTTTGAGTCTGTGTTGACTATTGATGGATGCAATCTGCAAGTTACTAACTGCCGTTAGCTGGAGATGTTGTCGAAATGCAACTGCGTGATGCACCTACACGGGACCTAAAGGCCTAAAGACCTAATAATCTACTACTGGCTATGGTCCAGTTTTCGGAGCCAAGCAAATCGCAACACGAATCTTCGATTCGTTGCTGCTACACATAACACCACATCGTGACTTGCAAGGAGCATGTCATGGAGTCATGAACTGAAGCCTAGTTGACTCGCTGCATAGACTGCTGCACCGCTAGACTGCCTGACCGCACGACCAAACCATATGCAGATGTACTGTGTTAGAAAGACCCGCGAGCGATTGGCTGGATGACGTGCCCCATGCGTCACTTCAACAAAAATGCAACGTCCTTGCACTCTTTGGTTGATTTGCTGAAGATGTCGCCGAGGATGCTTGCCGCCGATTCTTCTTTTGATTTGCCCTGCTTCTGATTCGCCACCGCTTGAGCAACAGCTGCACCGCCTAACGACGGCCCCGATGTGGAGGGGGCTCTGCTTTTGCTTTTTGCAAGTGCAATGGCTGCTTTCTCTTCATCGAATAGCGATCTTGTCAATGTCAACCGAGTACCAGCGTAGTTCTCTTCCTTCTGATTTTTGAGAGCCTCCTACATGCAGAGGCGAATGTCATGCCGTGAATGTAGACTGTAGACTATGGAGTATGCACTGCAAGCACACAGGCACACAGATAAACAAGCAATCTAACCAAGCAACAAAGAGCACAACACTACCATGGACAAACTACCACACATGCCGATGCCTGAATACGTTCCAAGTTCGACCGGTCCGCTTTGAGAGATGGATACTGCATGTTGACGTCAACCTCCGATCCACTCCTGCATATCTTTAATTGCTGAGTTCATGGCTCATGTGGTTCAGCTCATGGCTTCCTATTCCATTATACTCTTGCATCCACATATTGAAGCGAGTGAAACAATTGCAAGTGAAGTTACCGACCAACATTGACCAACATGCAGCAAATGCACGCGGCGTGGAATTTCACCATCTCTGACGTGACAGATGCCACCAGCAAAGGTGGCGTCTTTGAATCATCAGGAAGACTTTTAATCATCCATCCCACGCACGGAGCAGCAGAGCTTGGCTTGTCGAAGCTTGCGGAGCTCAGGTAAAACAGAATCTCTTGCCCTGATAGATTAGCGGACGCCACCTCGCAAGAAGCCCTACACACACTCAATGTCAAGCAGCAAGGAGCTATCAATGAAGCAGCCATGCAGTCATGCAGCACACAAGCACCATGTCCTGGATAGGCCGTGAAGTGAAACAGTGAAACGTCATGCGAAGCACACATATCATGACGACTCAGTAACCAGAGTCTTAAGTCTTAAGTCTTAAGTCTCTCAAACTTTGCGTGTGCGAGACGCCAAGAGGTGCGAGTGCTTTGGACCTGCGTCCAAAACCACTTGACCGAACATTGCAACGCTGAAGGTCTCATCCATCTGGCTGATGTCAACCGTCACTGCATTCTTGGCGCCCTGTGCATAGTTGATGTAGAGACACTCCATGCTTGTCCGTTCCACGGCAGATAGCCTGAGACCAGTTCAAGTTTGGGCAATTTGGCAGTGTGTCAGTGTGTGTGATTCGTACACTATAGCTGTCACACCGCATCACACGTATCACGTATCCCCGTATCCCATATCCGATCTAAGCGCTGCACGCTTTCGCAAGCAAGTGAGCCGAAATCTGCATCTGAAGACTCATCACGTCAAGCACGTTCCACTTCGCTTCCTTTGTCTCGTGAAACACATACACCGAGCTCACAGACAAGTCCTCAGTCACCCCGGTCACCGAGCCACCGTCGACGCTGGCTGGCTCGTTGCCTTGCAACCCAGCACTTGCCTTCCTGGCAGCCGGGCTCGCCACCTCCGACTTCACGCTGTCTCCTAGCAAATAGCGAAACTTGCTGGGCACGTCCAAGCCGAGCTCCTGTAGCTGGATAGCGTGCATCTTGTCCCGGATCTCATCCTCAGACGCCGACCCCAGCTCGATGAGAGATAAGCATTTGGTCAGATGCTTGGTCCATCCTGTTGCCCATTCGCTTTCATCTGCCACGACTGTTGTCAAAAGTACCTCAAGCTTGGCAGATGTCGGGATGTCCGTGCTGCCGGTAGCGGAGTTTCCGGAATCCGTGGCTTCAATTGCTGCCAGCAATGTGTGGCACACCTTATCCAGCTTGGCAGCTACGAAGTCTGTGAACTTGCATGGTTCCTTGTTGCCAGCTCCACCACGAGCCACTGTCTGCAAAGCACCCTGCAACATCCTGAGTAGGTAGACCGCCCGCATGCGGATCAACACCTCCAGCACTCCACTGTTCGGTACCCAAAAGGGCTCCCCCGCAACGCTCTCTTCCTTGCACAGGAAGAGAGAATACGGTGGCACACATTGGCTTGAAGCTGCGTCAGAAAATTTCACGGTTAATGCAAGTGAGAATGTAGGGACGGCACATGGTATGTGCTCGAATATAGCATCCGACGCCCACCAAACCAAATCTGATAGGCTAACCGATGCATCCGCGTGCACTGGACATGATGTGGGGTCCCGCTTGCATTTGCACATTCGGCTGACAAGCTTGCTCCTAGCTGCACAGAAAGCGGCATGGTCACAGGCATTGACTGCGTGGTTGGTGGTCAACCATTTCCGCACACATGAGGCGGACGGTTCTGTCATCCACAAGAGGATGCTCTTCTCGCCCGGTGACATTGATCCAGCTGTCAGGGCATCCCTGGATAGATTCTCCGTCAATCTCTCAAGTCCAGAGTCCATCGAGCTGGGCAGTGATGCTCGGCTTTTGGCCAATCCCTTGTGGATGATGTCCTGTAGAAGCGGCCGGACTTGAGACCATACCTTCTTTGGCTTCGTGTTCACAATGACCTTCCCATGGAAAGCGAACTCGATGCCCAGCCCAAGTGCTTGCAGCAAGGCCCTGCGGTTGCTGGGGTCCATGAGTGTCTCAACGTCTCCTGAAATGCACGGTGTTACAGTGTTAAACTGTTCAACATGTGAAACTGATGTGAAACTGTTAACCTAGCCGCCACTCAGCTAAAGCGATGCACAAATATGAAGCACAACTGCACCAGCTGCAACGACAAATTGACAAAGTTCAACAACTCGCAACGTCAGTTGGTGAGACGTCTCACACATGTCACACGAGAGCCTGCTGCATGGATCAGCGCAGACAGCAAGTCGTCAATCCACCATCGTTTCCTGCTACATCCGCAGCCCTCCTCCACATCTGCCAACACTTGATCCGCATCCTCGCGGTCGTCATCAGTGGCACGATTCCTTGCCGCTTTGCCTTTTGCTTTTGGCTTTGAGGTGGCTCGCTTCCGCTTCTTGGGCGCGAGCAATTCATTCACGTCGAGCGTGGCTCCATCCGAACTTGCTTGAGCACGGGCACTGACAGCAGGCTTGAATATCTTGGTCACAAAGGACGCACCGCCCACCTCTGTCTTGAGACGATCGATGATGGCAGGCATGTGTTTGGTAAATGTCCATTCAGGCATTGGCATGTCATAGTCTCCGCCCGAGCCACTCGGTCGGTCCCGTATGATGGGCACCTCTACACAGTTTTAGCATCTACTCAGTGACAAGTGACAACTTAGTCAATCGGCCTGCTCACACGAACACAACAAAACAACTGGTACCGGCACACAGCATCAGCTGAGCTCACTGCCAAGTATCGACTCCCCACAATGAAAACCTCCGAAAGGAGCTCAAGGCTGTAGGTGGCCGACAAAGATACAACCAGCTTGCCAAACACGTGCAAGTTCTGCATTGTTGCGAGCGTCGACAAGTTCTCATGCTGAAAGTCACAATGGTCTCCCAGAGCTTCACTGAATCTGTTCACGCAGTCCAGATCGTTCAGGTAATGCATAACCCTCTTGGCAAGGTCAAAGATCTGAAACGTTTTGAATCTCTGTGAGAAATTCTCAGTCACCCAATCAGAGTAAGTCTTCTGGTACGACGACCCACTGGCCGTCGTGATGCCCTGTCGACTTGCATGCCGCTTCCATGCCTGCACTGACACATGCCATACACATGTCACAGGTCACATGTCAGTAGCCGTCAGTAGCCTGTGCCTACGGTGAGACAAGACCGCCTCCTCCACATCTTTTGATCCGAGTATGGATTCCAGCCACGTGGGAGCCAAGCCGCCGTGGAAGCAATTGTGCAGGTCGCGCAGATAACTCGCACACGGGAGGAATGAGACCGTGTGCCGGCGTGTAATTAGTTGTGAGACGAGACTGACGAGACATGTAACCATCAACGCACACATTTCCTGCACTAGCACTGGGCTCCGCACGAAGCAACGTCATTGGGCATACGTTTGTTGAAGACTCGGCAATCAGGAAGGCCGTTCTCAATAGTAGCCATGACACGGGCATTCTTGGGCTGCTCTGCATGCGCGACATACAGTGCCTCGCACCTCCACGTGGAGCGACAGCATGAACATGATGAACATTCAGAGTGAATCAATACAGCATGCTAAGCCTAAGCTACCATGTCTTGTTGTGAGCCAAGCAACAATGTTCCGCAGGACAACGCGTAGTAAGTCCCGGTGTGTTCATCGTACGTCATCCATGGTTCTCCACGGACTGACTGTATGATACCCGATTCGAAGATTCGTTTGACGTACCCACGCATCGCGGAACCGGTCCGGCGTTGGTTCAAGGGATGTCTCTGAATCGCTGGCGTTTTGCCGTCTTCTTTGTACCACTTGATGGTGCGGCGTGGCCCGTCCTTGTGGTTCACCGGTGAGTTCGTGAAACTGTAGCAACGACTGCAGACACAGACACACAACAACATGTGACCATGTGACTGCAACAGCGTGAACGTCCTGGTAGACCTCGAAGATCTTACTGAGCAAACATATGCCCTGTTCGGAGTTGAAGCGTTCCGCAATCTCCATGGATTGCCCGAACAGCACCTCATGTGCTTTCTTGTACCTTAAGTCCAGGGAGGCATGCTGCATGTGGCGTGTTCTACACATGGTCTGTGCATCATGTGGTCACGTAGTCTTGTCCTGAGGCCGATACGATGCTTCTTTTGACAGCTGTTTTTCAGCCTCTGTCATGGTGTTCTCTGCCGTCTCACCGAAGGACCCTGATCTGGACTTCCTTCAGTCTCAGCCATGTAGCGCAGACAACGACGGATGACTGACGAATGCATGTATAATGCCAGTGACAGTGACAATTGATGTGACACGCTGGCTCATCACACTCGTCGCAGCATCATCACAAGCAAATGTGCCAGCTACTCAGGCAAGGCAAGTCAGCAAGCAAGGTCAAAAGGCGTGATCTACATTTGATCTACATTAAGCACAGACACTGGCTCGGTATCATGGCAGTCTCGCAGGTGTCGCAAGCAGGGTTGGGCTCGACACTCTGCCGAGCGGCACAGCAGACTACGACTACGACAGCAATCACTGTAAGAAACCAAAATGGCTCTTTGGAGCAATCAACTCATAGCAGCTGCACATGCATTGATGCATGGGATGACTGGTGAGACCGACGACCAAGGACCAAGGACCAAGGACCAACAACAACCAAGGACTCCAAGGACCAAAACAACTAACTAACAAGAGCTGCTAGCATTGTTTCACACATGCGCAGCCACAGCACAGCCCTCAGCCCTCAGCACAGCTCTTGATTCTCTTGATGAAGCGTCACAGTCGCAATTTCGGATGTGACAATTATGGCCCGGACAACGCCCTCAGAGGGCCCTCACAATCCAAAGTAACTCTGCATCGCCTGCGCTGTGGTCAGCTTCAGACGAGTTCATGTTTGAGAATGCTGCAATGCAATCTACAAGGACATTGTTGAGACTTTGAGACAGCATGTAGCCTGATGTCGCCCCGCTTCAGCCAGTCGCGTCGAGCTGCGTCGCAGATTCCCGACGAATTGTGGGTTGCTGTTACACTGGTTCAACGCAGCTGAGTGAGACACCGCACCAGGTCACAATCATACAAAACGAAACACACTACTGGCAATACTGGGCTGCAAAACAACAACGCTTCAGCTACGCCAAGCTCAGCTACGTCACATCATACCAGTCGTAGCTTCGCAACCAACATCGCTGCACCATGCATGCAGAATGTTACACTCTACACACACGACAGGATGCACTCCCTGAAAAGATACAGTGGGCTCCGGACTATGGGTTTCACAGTTTCACATTCACATGGTTCGGGGCCTTTGGCCCGGACCAGCAACTAGGCATGCAAATGCGGTCAAGCGCCTTGACAAGTACTGCGAAGGAACAAACTTCCGGCAAAGGGCCTGGTCAACCCCGTGACATTTCAGTTGCTTCAACGACATGCCACCATGTGTCACGACGTACAGGATCACAGCTGCAATGCACTGCATGTGCATGGCGTTGCCGGACATGCCGATCTTAGCTGTGCGGCTGGTCTGATGAGGTTTGTCTTTGTCGTCATCATGATCATCAAGTGCAAAGGATGCCATTGGAACACCGTGCGACAGTGCCGTGTAGATTGGGAAGCCTTGCATCAGGAATGATTCATTTGGAGTCACCCACCTCCTGTGCCAATCGCTATACAGGATACCAGCATGCTTGATGAGTGTACGCATACAGGTCCATGTTGAGTAATTGGCAAAGTCACGCGGATCCTGAGACAAGCTGTAACAACGACCACGACAAAGAGTCTCGTAGCCTTCGAGAAACCTTCTCTCCATGATTGTCAAACGGTTTCTGAACATATCACCATCATTTCCGACATCATCTCCGCTGACATGATGATGATGATGTGACGTAGGACGGCCGCCAGCCCAAAGCAGCTCCGAGCACAGTTCATCACCTGAAGCCACAAAGAAGATATCCCACGGTGGAAGCATGCCATCAGCAGCGCACTTAGCTCCACAGCTGATCGCACGGATGAACTCGTCCAGTCGCATGTTCCACGGCACTGCTTTTTTTTTGTGCCGCCCCACTACAAACTTGCGACGTCTTGCTACCGGCCACCCGAATGTGGTTTCTGGATCTATCACGCACGACTGCAGCTCATAGATATCCGATAGCATGGACCAAAGAAATTCATCAGGAAACGATTGCACGTTTTCTTGAATAAAAAACGGCTCTTGCAGATCCCTTCTCATGGCAACGAACGCCAGCAATGCTGTTGTGGTCGGGCCGTCCAACTGACTTTGTTGTCCGCGTGCACTGCAGTCCACGCACGGTGTGCCTCCAATGTGAAGGTCTGCCTCGCTAACCTTGCAGTTACGGTTGCACTTCTTACAGTACGCTACCCTGCCGGTGCATACCGACGACTTCACTAGGTCTCTGAGCACTGTCATGACCAAGCGCTCACGACTAATGGTGTCCAGTTTGTCTGCAAGTGTAGGAAGCCAGAAGTCGTTGATGTCGCTGAAGATGCAGCTAGGGCCATACGGATGTCGAGAGAGCTCATGCTGAGACTGCGACAGCCATTCGATGCCAAACTTGTTGCATGTCTTCGGCACGGAATCCTTGGTGACCTCGCGCCCCTGCAGCGTGAGAGCCGCCGCACCCATCATGGCAAGCGCAGTTGATGGCGAGTCCACCCCGGAGAACGATGTACTCATGGACATGGAGTTGAACACCGTTAGCATACACTCAGCATACTCGTGGTCGTCATCAGATGACACAGCCGCCAACTTCTGAAGTAGCTCCCGCGGCCACCCGAAGAGCGTATCGCGGAGCTTGATGAGCTTCTCCGTTCGGTCTTTCAGCCACGGAGCGACTGAGTCGGAAGGAGAAGTAGTCAATGAAGTAGTCGCAAACTGTGGTACGGGTACGACGGATGGTGTTTCACCTTCGGGTACATCAGTAGAAGTAATCTGTCTTGCGGATGCTGATGAAGCTTCTGGTACATGAGGCTCAGGCTCAGGAGGCGTTGCTGGCGAAGCGGAGATTGCCGGCGGCACAGAAACAACTTCTGGCTCATCCGCACAAGTAGTGTGTGCATGAGTGACTGCATCCAAAGTAGCCGAAGCAGTGATCAAGGTAGCAGCCGGTGTCACGGAAACAACTTCTGGCTCATCCGCATGAGGAGCGTGAGTAGGCATGACTGTGTCCGAAGCATTGGTAGAGGTAGCAGCCGGTGTCACTGAAACAACTTCTGGATCATCCTCATGAGGAGTGTGAGTAGGAGTGATTGCTTCCGAAGTACTGGCAAAGGCAGTCGGTGCTGTTACGGACAAAGTTTCTGACACATTCACATGCGGGGCTATGTCGGCGGTATCATCCGAAGTTGCCGGTGTCACCATTGTCACAGGCCCAGGACGTCGACAGTTGGCCAGGAATTTAGACATTCCTTCGCGAGTAGGCGCAGTCATGCGTGTATCGGTCTTTGGGGTTTTGGCACTGGCACTGGCCGCTCTTCTGGATGGGCTTCGTTTGGCCGGCGAAGAAGCTGGTCTCTTTTTGGCGGGCGCAGCTTTCACCGCTGTGGCCTTTGGTGTCCTTCCCTTCGGCGGCATCCCAGTAACACCAAATCCAGGAGCTTGTGTGTGCAAGGTGAAACGTGCTGGCCTCCTATCACTACTATCACTACACTGTGACTCAACATGCATGCAATATGCAAATGCAAACATACTTTGATACCGACTGTGATTCAGCAGGTGAGAAAAAGACATTAACATGATGCGCTGCCAGCAAGTGTCCCGCTCTAAGCATGAGCCAGTGAAAAGGCACCGAGAACATAATAACATAGCAGTAACATAGCATGTCAAGGTCAAAGTCATGCATCTGTCAGCACTGCAAAACGTGGCATGAATGCATGTGTACTAAACAAGCACCAAGAATATGTCATGGCAATGTAATGCAGCTGTCAGCCACTGAACGCTAGAAGACATAACATGAATGCACGTGGCAGGTGTGAAACCAAGCGGCACCAAACATAAGCAAATGAATCTAACAAACAGATTGGCTGCATGCCTTTGCCTTTGCATACTTGAGCCGGCCGAAGTGAGCATCGAAGTCACTGATTGGTCCTGATCAGATCGTATTCGTGAACACTCTGTGCACTGAGTCATGATATAATTGGTGGTGTTGATGAAGTATGTCTGATCATGTCGTGTGTTGTCTTGTTGGTGAATTGTGCTTGTGTTGCTGTGTTGCTGTTGGTTTGACCCTTGTTGTTGTGCTGATCATACGTTGTTGTTGTTGGTGTTGTTGTCGATGCTGGTGGTGTTGTTGTTGCTGCTGATGTTGTTCCTGTTGTTGTTGATAATGAATTTCTGTTGGTTTAAGATTTTTTTCATATTGTGATGGTGTTTATGATGTTAATCTATATGATTATGTTAATATATTCACAGGT